AAAGTAAGTAATAAGGATCGAAATGTTACCTTAAAGTTCAAACTTACCCTTTTCATTAAAAAGACAACTGGAAATTACCTTAGCCTGACCCACTTACCTGTGTCCCCAGCGGAGTCGCCAAGCTGTCGCAACCGTCTTTCGGTTGGGCCCCGGAATTGGGCTTCGACTTAGGAAAATGGATTGGGAGTCGCCACCGATTATTTATTTAAAAATAAATAGGTTAATCGGATACCTTATATCTTACCTGATCTGCGTTTTACCAAAGATATGTCGGACTCGGGAGTCGGTTACAGCTAAGGAAGGATTAGCACCCTTGAACTGCCCTTTCGGTACTATATAATTTCCAGTTGTCTTTAATTAAGAAAGTTGTAAATTTAAAAAATGTAAAATGACGATCCAAATTACTTACCTTAGATTACTTAAATTGTACCCTTAGAAAATCAAGACATATATTAGATAAGGAATGCAAATAAAACACCTAAGGTAAAATGGAAAACAAACAAGATGAGGAAAATATAGAAAAAATAATGTACATGATGGTAATAATGATAAAGATAAACAATGGGAAAAATAAAAGATATATAATAGTAATAAATAAATAACAACTAAAAACTAAAATAAATCACCATAATCAAATATGTACATGTAAAAAAAAATAATAATGAAAATAAAATAAGAAAATATATATATATAACAATAATAGAGAAAAAAAATAATGTAAATAAATATAATAATAAAGAAGTAAAGAAATAGGGTAAAATACAAAATGTGTACATATATACATATATATATATATACATATGTAATATAACATATAAATGAAATAATACTATACTAATAATAAATGTATACGAATGTAGAAAAAACTAATAATAGTATAAAATATATATAAATATTATAATGTAATATAAAAAGATAATTAAAACTAATGTAAATAAATATAATAATAAAGAAGTAAAGAAATAGGGTAAAATACAAAATGTGTACATATATATACATATATATATATAATATAACATATAAGTGAAATAATACTATACTAATAATAAATATATACGAATGTATAAAAAAAACTAATAATAATATAAAACATATATAAATATTATAATGTAATATAAAAAGATAATTAAAACTAAAATCCAGAGAAAGGACTAAAATGAAAGAACTGCAGGCTAGAGGTCAAAATTCAAAGCAATATAAGGGTTAATTTTTATTCGGGGGTGTGAAATAACGCTTTAAAAGATATGAGGGACCAAAAGGGTAGTCTACCCTATTTTATTTGAAACACGCTGGTATATATGCTAAACAAAGAACTAAAAACTTTCATTTGGTTTTATTTCAAAAGCCAGAGCCATCTCTTCTCTATTTCTCTGTGATGTTCTTGGGCTTCCAAGAACAGAGGCCGTGGGTTCCCAGAAACCGGCCATCAGCCGCCACAAGCCGCCTCGCCGGCGCCGTTGAACGGCGACGGCCGTCGTTCATCGGCGGCCAAATCACGAAATTTTCTTATTTTTCAGTAGCTTTTCACCTCCTCGTTTCAAAAATCCAGATAATTTTTCAAAAAAATCAAGCCTCGGGGGCTAGATCTACGGAAGTAAATCCTGAAAACACCCCTTATTCATCGGCTAAAACGCTTCTTTTGGGTTCTATTCGAACAAAAATGACGAAGAGACCATGCATGCAAGCATCTAAAGCGATAAAGGTAAGAACTTTTACCCTTTCCTTCGAAAACTTTGCGAGAATTCCTCTGTTTTCACTCTAATGCTTACTGCGAATTTCTGCTAGGGTTTTGTGTCTATTTCTTGTGAAAACTCTCTCTTGTTTTTTTGTATTTTCCTCCGTCCCTCGTTTGGGTTCTGATTACATATATTTATAGGAAAAAAATCCTATTTTTAGGTATTTACAACTGAATAAAACACTAATGCAATCTGTTTGTGTTTGTTGGTGACGAATGGGTTTCGTTCGCCGGATGCTTCGGAGTTGTTGGAGGTGAGAGACGTGCACCGTGAAACTCGGAGGGAAAGTCGGGAGGCGTGGTACTCTCGTTGAAGGGGAGAACGGCGCTGGAGAGAAGCTGGCTAGGGTTCTGGAAACCCTGGGTCTTGAACTGGTTTGGGCAAGACTGGTTTGGGCCTGGGACGTGTAACTGCTAGGGCCAAAACCAAATTAATAAAAATGTATTCATTATATAGTTTAATATAATACAATATTATATAATATTAATCAGTCGAAATTCAGTGTCTTCACATTGTTTGAGAGAGATTTGCTCTTTTATTTTTAGCACTGTTTATGGATGAAAATTTTTCCTTTCCATTCAATTTTTTTTTACTGGTATGATATTGTGGTTGCAATATTTTGATTGTTGTTACAAGGGATGGTAAAAAAAACTGAAATTGACTAATTTTAACCCGACCCTGTAATAGTGAAATTGAGATTGTATTGTATTGTTTTTCAAAACAGTAAAAATATAAATTTAATCCCTTGAAATATTACAAAATAATAAATTATGAATTGGAATTAACCTCTCCTGTTTTCATTACCCTTATCTCATGGGGTATAGGCTCAAAGCAGGTAAGAAGTTTCATAGCTTTACTCATGAAGTAAGAATGTCTTTTATCAGTACATTTGACTCTAACGCTTTGCCAACTAATGTTCATACCTTTATATATATATATATATATGCGATGTATGAACTTATGATCTTAAGAGATAACAATAAATCTCTTAACCACTAAGATCATTTGATTTTAGCATTTTTAATAGACAAATCAAAGTGATTTAATACGGTTAAGAACAATTAAATAAAATATATGTCAATTATGTATAGATATCAAAATAATTAATTCCTAATTGATGACGAATCTGACTATAAATTAAGTTAATATGTTGATTTATATATCAATTTTATAGTCTCAAAATTTCACATGAATTAACTTTTCTGATATTATATTTTTAGAATAACAAAAATATTTTCCCTAAAAATGTGTGTACTACTTTCAAATAAAAAAAATGGAATTTCAACTTCAAGATTTAAAATTTTCAAGTCCACTTATGCATTTAGATACACAAATCCTGAATTATCAGATTTCATATCTATATGTTTTTATTTATTTATTATTGCAAAAAAGTTGGCATTGACAAATTCCAAATTATCATTATAAATGCGCATAAAAAAGTGAAAAAATGTATAGTTAAATCTTGAGATTAATTAATTATTATAACATAAAATTCAACCGTCGAAAATTCAATAGGTAGGGGTTAAACCTAAACCCGGTAGCCTAGGCAAGTGGCAATATAAAAAGTATAAAATAATAATATAATATACAATATATATTGTTTAAATCAACTTGTTTAATATATCTATAGTATTTATTTATATTAATATAAAATAGGGTAAATTACATCAGATACCATTGAACATTATGATGTATTATTTTAATCATTAAACTCTTAATTTCTTCTATTATAGCACTAAATTTTTTATTTGACTTTAATTGTGTCTTCGGGTTGTTAAACTGTAATAACATGATGACATGGGTGAATATTTCTATCACTGTGATGTTATTTTCACGTGATCATTAATGTCTAAAACGATGTTGTTAGACACTAAATTTTTCTGATCGTCTTTGATAGCCAATCGTTATCCGTTACCGATTATCTTTTGAACCGTGATCGGTATCAAAATATTCACATTTCAATCCTATTTATTCTTCTAGTATTGATTTACCACGGAACCCACTTAAATTCGATGAAAATCAATTTGAAGGTTCGAAGCACTAATACTCTAATCTCCTCCGATGAGACAAATTTCTAAGTATATTGTTCTTCTTATAGAAATAATACTTCTTAACGTTTGGATTTTTGAACAAACATCCAAAATCCCCCAAATATAAGAAAGTCCCCGAACCCCTAAAAATTATGGAGTTTTTTGTTTTGTTTATTTTTGTCGATTTTGAGTAAGTCATAGGAAATCAATCCTATGAAAATAAAGAGGAGTGAAATATGAACGTTTTGATATTGATTTTGTTGCGATAAATGACTAGTGATATGTGGTGATTGGCTACCAACGACAATTGAAAAAATGCAGATGCCAAAAAGTGATATGTTTAAAATTTTAGTGGCAAAGTCGAGGTACCCTATAGTTTTTTTATTATTAAGCTAAAGGTGATTACAAAGTAGTATCTGTTCTAACTACTATCAACTATTTGACAATGAACGCTCAATCACCCTAGCAGTCGCTGGTGCTCAAACACATGACCTCTAGGAATAACAACAATTCCTTTAACCACTGAGGTAAGTTGGTTCGTGCTACCCCTAAAATTCAATGTTTAAAACGATGTCGTTTTAATCATCAACAGTCGCACCAAAATGATATTATTTTGTTTATATTATCACACCGTTTAGATTTCAGCAGGCTAACGACATAGTTGAAGTCAAAACTAAAATTTAATGCTATAATTGAAGAAATTAAAAATTCAATAATATAAATGATACACCTTTAAAGTTTAATGGTATATAATGTATTTTACTCTATAAAATATTTGTACGATTAATTCATTTATAAAATAAAATTTTAATGTAAAATAATAATATATATTATAATTACATTTAAGTACTTTTCATAAATTTAAATTAAAAAAAAATTATTCTATACATAATATAAAATTTAGACTTTATAAATATATATACTTGACTATCATTAATATATTATAAATTAAATGAACCGTTGATATTTCAATATATATAATATTTGAATCCAAAAATTTAAAAGATAACAATAAATTCTTTAACTACTTAAATAATTTGAATATAATTCTTAATTAAATTTGAATATATATATATATATATATATATATATATATATATTTTTATCTCTAAGGAGACCAATTTAACTAAGATTTAATCTACATTCATACATTTAATAATTTCTCTTTTATAAATTTATATAACTAAAATAAATGAGTATAAATACATAAACAATCTTTAATCATGATTTTGATTAATTTTGGCTTTTGGTTTAGAACTTAGAAGAGGGTAGAAGGAAGGAGAAATGGAGTCGACGGAATCTTCTTACGTGTCATCACCGGAGGCGGCGAGAAATAGATCTCTACCGCAACCTAAATCGCCGACTTATGGTAATTTCTGATCTGATCTTCCCTTTTTCTCATTGAAGCGTCTCATTTCTGAGAGTTTGTTTTTGCTTATTTTCTGCTTTTGAGTACACAGTTGCAATTTGTTTTTAGTTTTTTTCTCTTCTAATGTAAAGTTTAATTTTTTGAATTGTTTGAATTTCAAGTTTTTAGTTAATTTTATTTATCTATGTATTTTGTTCAATATAGAATTTTAAACCCTAATCCTAGCATTATGTTTGGTTGGCGTGAAATGGAAAATGGAGTCACGAGAAAGAAGAATGTGTTCTGAGGATTTAGCTTAAGCTTGAATGTTGTCTTACCTGGACTCCGGCTGAGTTTCGAATCTTCTATTTTATGTGTATCCATATTGGGAGCATCAAGTTTATTTTGATATGAAATGTAGAACATCAATAATACATCCTGTTATTCACAGTTGGACGTCCTAACATAGAATTCCTAGATTCACACCTAGTGGCGATGGTGATGAGGAGGTGTTTTAGTTAAACGAGTTGCTTGCTATTGTTCAGTTAGATCAGTATCCAAATGTTGATACTTGATACGACTTGTTTGAAAATTGAAAAATGTTAGTCTGGTATCATCCCAGACTAACATTTGGTATGGCCTTTCCTTGAGATTGGATTTTCCCCTTTTTCATGTGGGAGATCAACAATGTTACTAGCTGAACTATCATCAGAAATGCAAGGTGGTGTTCTTAATAAACAATACTTGTTGTGTATTGTGTTTATTTAATGCTTTTACTGCAATTTTGTTTATTAGTAATTGCATTGTGAAGTGATATGTAGTTGCTCTTGTTTAGTATCCTTGTTATTCTCATTGTAGTTTTTTATCTTATTTGTTTTCTTGGCTAAAGGGGAGGAAATTGCTCTAATTGTTGAAGCTTTCATGTTTGCCTCAAAAGTCCTCAATTAACTGCAAATGCATTTATGGTCCATGAACTAACCGATGAACATTTTTTTCATCATTCTTCTGTCAGGAAATGAGGAGAAGCCTGCATACATAAGGTTTCTTGCCTCCAATGCTGCAGCTGGCTCTGTAATTGGAAAGGGTGGTTCGACAATTACTGAATTTCAGTCAAAATCAGGAGCTCGAATTCAGTTGTCACGCAATCATGAAACTTTCCCTGGAACATCAGACAGGATTATTATGGTCTCTGGAACAGTTGACGGGGTCCTCAAAGCTATGGAGCTTATCCTTGCAAAATTATTGAATGAGGTGATCTTATGATAAATTTTGTGTTTTGACTATTAAACTCTCTTTCTGATAATAACGCAAGTTTGTCTTTTCATGGTCAGCTTAATATTGAAGATAATGGTGATGTTGCACCAAGAACAAAAGTCAGGTTAATTGTTCCCAGTAGCTCTTGTGGCAGCATAATTGGGAAGGGAGGGGCTACCATAAAGTAAGAAGTCTACTTGCTCTATGAGTGTACATGTTTTTATTGTTATGAGTTTTATTTACCATTGAAATATTTTACTTCTTGCATGTTTGAAATCAAAGAAACTTGAATTTGTTGTTTTTAGTAGTGTTACAAAATTGACGCATGCTGAACAGGCTTATTTATGAAGAATGCATGTTTATTCTTTCATTATACTGTTCGTTTGCACAGGATAAACTTTATAAAAATGTTAACCTATGATTTTTTTGGGTGCAAATTTTAACCTACGGTTGATTTATAGTATATTCGGATGGCCATTAGTGGTGAAAGAACTACTGAGTTTGAAATTGAGTCGTGTGAGAATGTGTACGGTTTACCAGTGCAACAAAACCTATATTTGACGGAGTTGGGGATGATCTGGAAACTTCATATGCAAAGAGCAGTGTACGATAAATTTGTGAGCTAACTTGGGGAGATGGCATTGGGAGTGATAAATTTTGGCAATAGGAATAAATTTAGTAATTACCATAGTAATAATTTTTGTGCATCATAGATTCATAGTGAGTTACTTCTTGGATGGCCTATTAATAACCCACTTATGCTATGGCTTTAAGAACTGAATTTGTTCAGGCATATTTGGCAAAATGTTGTAGGTTGCCGGAGATTTAATTTGTCAAAGACCTGATGAAGGTTAAATCTAGATCATGGTGAAGTCTTCTCCGGAATTGACTTGGATCAGAGTCCCAAGTAAAGATAAAAGCGTACCTGTCTGAACAATAAATAAATAAAATAGAAAAACTTGACTGCCTTTTGTTTGGAGAAGCTTTTCTTGTCATTGCCTTTTATTTCATCTTAACAACTACATATCTGGACTAATGGTTTTTTACCATAATTCTATATTTGGCTTCCAAGCTGATTGTTGGTTTTTCTTTGTTGTAGGTCATTTATTGAAGATTCCCAAGCTGGCATTAAAATATCTCCACTGGATAGTAATTTTTATGGCTTGAATGATAGGTTAATCACACTTACTGGCACACTAGATGAGCAGATGCAAGCTATTGAATTGATGCTTTCCAAGCTTTGTGAAGACCCTCATTACTCACAAGCTATGCATGCTCCATTTTCATATGCAGGTGTGTTCTTTTTTTATTTGGTTGCCGAGTGTAAACAAACTCCTACAGTTGCATTAATTCTCTGCTTTATTCCATAATTTTTCAGTATTCCATTTTTCTCTTTCATGTATTATGATTCCGTCTGTTGCAATAGTGACATTCTATTCGATGAACTATGCACCAAATGGGACCGGCGGGAAGTTTCCAAATCACAAGGTTCATTTCTTTCTGTTTTGCTTTATCCGTACTGCCTTCCGACCGATGCTATTTACATTGTTTATTATTGTTATATGAGTACACTGTTGTTAAGCACATCTTACCCGACTGAAGCCTTTCATTTGTATATTTAGGAGGATCATAGCAACTCCGTCACAATTGGTGTTTCGGACGAGCACATTGGGTTGGTTCTTGGTCGTGGTGGACGTAATATAATGGAAATTGGTCAGGTCTGTAAATGATAAATACTAAGCCACTTTGATTCAGTAATTTTGCTTATGTTCTGAATGTCATTGCAGGTAAGTGGGGCCAGAATAAAAATATCGGATCGAGGCGATTTCATGTCTGGAACAACAGATAGGTATAAAAACACCCGTATTAATCCACTAGCTAACCATTGGTTTTCTTAAAAGCTAAAACCCTTTTCTATCTCCCTTGTGTTGCAGGAAAGTCACTATCACGGGATCACAGCGAGCAATCCATCAAGCCGAGTCTATGATAATGCAGAAGGTAGCAAATGCCGCTGAGAGGGCGATGGATTAGTTTTCCAGCTATCAAAACCAACCATTCTTGTTAAGTCTTGTGATGGAATACTTACGACCGCAACATATCAGCATTCATTGACACACGAGTCGACAAAGCCGAGATTATGATCCTGGAAGAAGGGGAAATTTGTGATCAAACAGCGATGGTGGTATTGTTGGTAGCCTACATATAGACTAAAGGACAAATATGATGAATATAGGGTTTATATCAATGCTTGACTGAGAAATGGAATTAGCATATCATTTTGTAATTGTTGGCTGTTGTTTACTTCGGCTGCTCCCTTTTCGAGCATCTTAATTATAATTTTGAAAGCATCACTTTTTTCTTAGGATCAAACTATAATTGTTTATTGATGATTTTATTTATTTCTTCATTTATAAAACCAAGGGTTCAATTTAGTTCGGTTTTGGAAAAAATAGTTATAGCACGAATCAAGTGACCTAAATAATTAAAGGATTCATTGTTATTTCTTGTGATCTCACGTTCGAGCATTATATAGGTAGGGTAGGGGTATGAACCTCTATTGTCAAAAGGTTGAAAATCTTCAAATATATATTATATTGTATTTCGCCTATATTTATAGAAAAAAAATTCTAATAACTATTTGTAACATCTTCGAATTAGACACAAACTTTAACTAGGGATGACAAACGGGCGGGTCGGGTGCGGATACCCCCATCCTCATACACACCTAATATTTTTAAATTCATCACTCGTCCACCACCAATTATGATAAAAAAATTTCAAATCCACACCCGCCCACGTGAGTACATTCTCAAATCCATCCCCACACCCACTACCCAACTGGAGATGTATCCTACTAGACCCGCCTTACAACAACCTTAAGTTATATATAAGCAACAAACATAAAACAAAAACGTTCATTAAGAAACATAATAAAATAAACCAATGATTATCTGAGTTAAGTGTTAACATAGATCTTAAAGTACATAAAACACCATAATAAAATACATAATTAAAGCCTAGAAACATAAATGACAAACACATAATATTTTTGTTCTTTGGCACACATAAATGACAAACCCTAAAATTATACCTAAATTTATAATGGTCCAAAATTTAATGGGTATTTAGTGGGTGTGCGGATGTGGGGCGAATAAGGTCTCAAACCCATCACACGGCCACTACCCGCTACATGTACCTTTCTAAATCTACACCCGCCCACTACCCGCTACATGTACCTTTCTAAATCTACACCTGCCCACTACCCTCTAAAATTATACCCATCCCCGCCCCAATTGGAGTGGGTACGGTGCGGAATCCACAAAATTGTATTCGTTTGCCATCCCTAACTTCAACCCTCATAATGGAGAAGAAAGAGAATTTTGTTCCTAATGAGTATTGAATTCACAACTTAGAAGAGAAGGTAGATGTGAATTAAGATTTTTTAACCATATTTTGCTTACTTGGGCAGCAATTGGATAATATAAATAACTAACGAATTCGAATCAATAAATATACTTATCCATGTTTGGATACTATAAAGTTAGACATGTATGATATATTTAAGTTATACAACTGTAATTATATTTATTAATTTTCCATTTATTACTCTAAAAGATTTATAATGATCGTTTTTATGTATAAGATTTACTTTTAAATTTTGGAAAACAATGGAGAGGGTCAATGGTTTATAAAAATTCGTAAGTCCTAGCAAATGGAAAAGCAGCAATCCTTGTAAATAAGCAAAGCACCATACTTTAGCATGTCAATAGTTTGTTTTTATCTTGGATATGCCTTACTTACATTTCCTTGTTTGTAATGCAAATAAAAGAGAAGAAGAATACTTCAATAAAGAGATAAATCAACTGTATATATTATTAATTTCCATTTATTACTCTAAAAGATTATAATGATCGTTTTTATGTATAAGATTTACTTTTAAATTTTGGAAAACAATGGAGGGTCAATGGTTTATAAAAATTCGTAAGTCCTAGCAAATGGAAAAGCAGCAATCCTTGTAAATAAGCAAAGCACCATACTTTAGCATGTCAATAGTTTGTTTTTATCTTGGATATGCCTTACTTACATTTCCTTGTTTGTAATGCAAATAAAAGAGAAGAAGAATACTTCAATAAAGAGATAAATTTGTCTTGTGGAAATGCTTTTAACGTGTCAAGTTTTCAAGTCTCTTTTCCATGTGATTTGTTTCAATTTTTGGTAACATATATTAATATATTAGTCTTTCTTTTCTTCTCGTTAGTACGTTCATAGTCTTTTTTAACCATTGATAACATATACACTCTAGAAACGCAGTTACTCGAATTTAGGACCTCAAGAGAAAATAATACTCCCTTTAATCAAGTTGGATGTGAATATAAGAATGGAATAATTGTTTTAATAAAGAAAGTGATTATTCTTATAGAAATACTTTAGCATATCAAGTTTTATCAGCCTCTTTTCTATATGCCTTTTTTGGATTTTTGGTAATTTGGTTGTCTTTCTTCTCAAGAAATTATGTACTTGTTTAAGAAATTTTTGTTCATTGTTTGAACATCGAGTTGTCATTCACTGTTATCTCATAGTATTCTTTACTCACAAAAACACAAATGGACAATGAAGCTTATACCAAAGCTTATTGTTATGGATGCAGGGAAGTGGTTTCAGGTCCATGCTTTACTTGTGCACTCTGCCATTATCACCTTCATCAGCAATGTGCGGAGACACCTTTCCAATTTCCAAACACCTCGTCTTGGATTGTATCATCCGTATCGGTCTGAGGATGGTGCATGAAATGAACGTGAATATAAGAAAGAATAAAACTTTAACAAAGAAACGATTATTTTTGTAGAAACTCTTTCTTTAGCATATCAAGTTTTGCAAGTCCCTTTCCCATGTGCATTGCTTGAATTTTTGGTAACATATATATTTTTGCAATTAACGGGTTTAAATTTAAATATTTTAAATTTGGTTTCTGCATGAACTATCGATCCTAGTATGGTTAGTCTTTGAACAAATACTAACTGATATTCACCTCATATTTATCTAATTTTAAAGATCAAAATTATAATTTCTCAAATTTTTTGGTGGCCGTGACCCACTGGCCTTTATTGTGTTCTACTACTTACTCCAATGTTTCAACTATTATGATATTCATTTTCCCATCCCACTCACGTTTAGAATTTCACTATTAAATGCATGAACCAACTTACCTCATTCGTTAAAAGAATTGTTGTTATTCCTAGATGTCATGAGTTCAAGCACCAACGACTGCAAGGGTGATCGAGCGTTCATTATCAAATGGTTGTGAGCACTAAGAACAAATACTACTTTGTAATCACCTTTAGCTTAATTTTAAAAAAAAGAATTTCACTATTAAATCTGTATCGACATTAATTGGATCAATTATATTAACATTTTTTAAATTTAAAAATATTTAACAATTTTTTAATATAAAATAATAATTTTTTGAATAGAAGCCGCTAGTCTTATTAAAAAAGTAAAAATATCCAAAATTACAATAGGAGTTTACAACTATCATCGTAAACTAAATATATAATTTGGACATTTTCTTATAGCATTGAAACTAGTCACTTTTGATCATATAATGACAATAGATGGAAAATGTTAAAAACTCAACCAAAAGACTCAAATAAAAAATAGATACGAAAAAATCTGACTTCATCAGTAAACGAACGACATAAAGGGGATTAAGCTATTGAAAGATCATTGAGAATCACAAATCAGAGTCAAACGTTGTGAGAAACTATCCACGAGCGTAAAATTGTGTATCCAAATTCAATTCGAGAGTTTATAGCAGGGAATATCAATAGGATTATAACTAAGCGTCATCTTGATCAATTTTGGCGTTGTCAAATCTAATCATGAGAAAACATAAAATAAAAAGAACAATCAAACGATCGAGAGAGAAGACAAAAAACGTGCCACAAATGCATAGTAAAACGTGTCACAAAGTTAAAATTATCTTTATTAAAAAAGAAATAAATAGAAAAAAAACCAACAATCGATAACCAACATCAAAACCGATGTCACCGTCGACTAAATAAATCAAAGAAAAAAAGGTTGATCTGATATATAGAAAATATTTTTGACAAGTTCAATAATTGAGTCCTTAAATATGAATCGAATCTAAAACTTTTTAAAAGATCTTTAGATTTACGGGGAATCTTTTCTCATATATTAATTTAAGTATTTTTTTATAGAATATTAATTTAAGTATTTAATATATTTTTTATTTTTTATTTTGTTCCTTGATTGTTCCTCAAGAAATTCTTTACTTGGTTGAGAGACCAACTTTATTCTTTAATCCCACAACAGACAAGAATCCTATTCCCTCTAATTGCTATTTATAAGAAATTGTTTGAACATTGAGTTGTCATTCACTACTATCTCATAGTATTCATTACTCACAGAAAAACACAAATGGAGAAGAAAAATAAGAGAGAGATGAAGCATGAGTTCCATGGGCATCCCTTGGTGTTTGTGGAAGTGCAAAGCAGTGAAGCTGATCCCAAAGCTTACTGTTCTGGATGCAGGGAAGCGGTTTCAGGTCCATGCTTTACTTGTGCAGTCTGCAATTATCACCTTCATTCAAACACCCATGGATCTATTCAAAAGATTCAGCTGCCTCTGGTGTCATCAACCATTGCTTGATGCTATCTACTTTTGTTTTCGACTGTCCATCCTTTGTTTTCCATAAGAAATGCCTTGATGAGTTACCCGTTAAAATCCATCACCCTTCCCATCACCACACCCTCTTTCTCTTGAGTGTGAAAAGAATTCTCTCTTTTGCAAGCTATGTCAAACCCAACATTCCGGATACTTTTATTCTTGTTCACTTTGCCATTGTAACATCAATATTGAATGTGCTTGGCCGAGGCCCGTTGTTGAAGATAAAAGGCACCATCAGCACCCATTCACCCTCTTCTGGAGACCAGGTTCATTCATTTGCGACGCGTGTGGCACTGAGGGAAAATATATTTCTTATATATGCTCTACATGTTGTGTTGTCGTCCATAAAGACTGCACAAAACTCCCACGCATTATCAAATTCTCACGACATCATCACTGCCTTTTTCGCAAATATTTTCTTGAAAAAAGACAGCTTACAAGGAAGGATTGCAAGATCTGTTTCGATGAAGTGAAAGTAGAGCATGGCAGTTACTCTTGTGTGGTACCAAGTTGCAATTACGAAGTCCATGTGAATTGTGCCTTAGACGATAAAATATTTTACGAGTTAATTGAGGAAGAATGCCGGTGTGAGGAGCTCAATGCAGCGAAGCAGTCTTCCATCACTCGTGTTATTGAGGTGAATGAAGATGGGGAAGCCACAAAGATTGAACATTCCAGCCATGAAGGTCATTGTTTGGTGCTAGCAGACAAGATGGAGAAGGAAACTGATAGACAATGTGATGGGTGCATGCTGCCTGTCTCAACTCAGCTCTATTATTGTTCGGAATCAGATTGCCATTTTTGTCTTCACAAAAGTTGAGCTGAGTTGCCAAGAATCAAGCAACATTGGCTTCGTCAATTGAATGCTACTCTTTGATTTGAAGATCTCAAGTTATGTGACCTGTGCATTCGATTTTGTAGTGGTTTCTTCTACAGCGTTAGAGGAATGTACGAAGACTACGATATTTGCATAAGGTGTGCAAAAGTTGCTGATATCATTGAAGGGCAAGCACACCAACACTTCCTCTTTTTTGATTTCAAATGCAAGCAGAAGAAGTGTAATGGTTGTGGCAGCGGCTGGCATTGGGTTGGTGCATTCAGATGTGGAAAGTGCAGTTTTGCTTTGGATTTTGGATGCGTAACGTTACCACATTCAGCTCCTCACAAATCGGATGAACACATGCTATACCTTACTTATCATAATGATAATGATTATCCAAATCATCGTTATTGTGATATTTGTGAAGGAGAAAGAGATCCAAGCCTTTGGTATTATCATTGTTCGATCTGTGATACTTCTGCTCATCCCGATTGCGTTCTTGGAAATCGTCCATTTGTCAAGAACGGGGCCACCATGTGGTATTATGGCAGACATGATCATGAGCTTGGTTTTTTCAGGAAGGCTACGGGTTATCCTGAATGTTCCGATTGCGGTAAGCTTTGCCAAGAAGAAATTCTCAAGTGTGCTCAGCCTGCATGCAACTACATTGCCCACTACAGATGCCGCCGGTTTGGAGAAGAAAACTTTTGAGCCAGTGGTAAGGATAAATAAAAAGCCATTATTCTCTTTAATCATCAATGTTTTAATTTTAATCGTCTTTCATGATTGTAGACGTGTATGAAGATTTTAAACAATCCAAGGAGTTCACAAGGGGTTTGACATTTCATTCCAACTTCTCTGAAGAAAGGATTAAAGTGAGCTATATCTATGATTATGAGTATTAATAATTGTGAGTGTAATTTGTTAATTAATGAATGAGTTTGTGTGATTTGGTTTCAATGTCACTTTGGGATTTATTTGAGTTTGTATGGTTGGATTGAGGTTTGTGTATGGTTTATTTGAGTATGTATGATTTTATTGTAATCGTAATTAATTTATGGTTTCATACATCGTATCATCACTGGTATCATCTACCTCAAATACCTACTCTGTTGCTTCTGGTTCTCTGGCTTTACGCCTACCAAATTGCCTTCTTGAACATAGCCTGCTGGATAAACATAAAATGAACCATAAATGTCATTGTGAAGTTTCCAAATAAGAAACTAAAGATGATCGAAGGTAATTTGCAGTAAGCAATGAGAAATGTAACAACTGCTTGTTTAAAAAATAAAAATTAAACATATTTTTAATTGAAGATAAGAATAAAATATATATTTTTAAATTAAAATAAGAATAAAATATATTTTTAAAAGTTAAAACATATAAAATATTATGAATTTAAGTAAAGTATTTATATTATTTGGTCAAATATATAGTACATATTGTTTACTTTATACTAAACGATAGGATTGATTTAGTGGTTTGGTGTTTGCTTCATTGATTAGGAAGGTAACATGTGTCATCCTCTAATTTGAGGGGTTAAATTTATTTTAATTTATTAAAATAGGACCAAATTGATATAAAATATAAGTAACAAGGACTAAATGTGTAACTATATAATTTTTTTGGCACCAAAAAATAGAGAAAAATATTTCTGACAGTATAACTTGTCAAAATAATTAAAATATATAACTACAAAAATAATTGATCACAAAACTTAAATCTTATTATTTGACCTGATAATTTTTTCCTTAACAATAAGTATAATTTATAATTACAAAACTTGTCACTACATAACATATTTTTTTTGACACAAAAGAGGAGGAAAACAAATTTGACAATATATTGTGTCATTATAATTAAAATTATAACTACAAATATAACTTGTCACAAAAATTTAAATTTCATTATTTATTATGACAAATTTATTTGTAATAATTATTAAAATTTATAGTTTTGAAATCTGTAGTATATTATTTTTTTGCTCCAAAAAAATAGAGGGATATATTTATGATAATATATATTTTTTCACTATAATTAAAATACATAACATGTCTATATAAGAAATCACATCAACAAAAAAAAGTTATTTTTAAATTAATTAATTATAATGTATGAACCAGAACGAATCTACATAGAAAATGAGACTGGGCGTTACTCCTCCCAAAATATTTGGTCTAATAACATTTTAAGTCCTTATTAATTTTCTTTATTAATTTAAATTTAATTCGTGTTACGCTAATAAATCCCTATTATTTTAAACTTAGGTACTTTATGTCTTTGGTATGAATTAATTCAACACCGCTATATCTTGATTACCCTTCTCTCCATAAAGCCAGCTATTTCTCATACTCCATTAGTGCCCAAGCAAGGTGACGAGTGATGGAAAAAAAAGGGCTTTCCCATTCCTGTAAATGCCATAACATGAACTTAACTGAAAAGTTACTCTGGATGATCATAAGTGCCGACAATACGGACCCGATGTGTGCCTCTGAACTAAGTCTGCTCTTCGATTGACGGCAAGCTGATGAATGTGGCAACAAACCAAATGAATCCGTGCCATTTTCCTTCCAAACACTATCGCCCTTGTAATTAGCACCAGAAATCAAAACACAGAGTTCCAAATGAAACAGAAAGACCATCCAACTATAACTTGATAAAATTATGTAGAATTGTTAGTTTTTCATCGAGACCGCGTATCATAATATTCTACTCTTTCACACTTCGTATCTCAGCAGTGTCTCCGTTTTTCTCCACCACGTTACTTTGCTCTTCGATGGTGTCTGCACCGTCATCAACCTTAGGACCCTTCTTACCCTCAATTGAGTCTCCACTGCAGGCCTGTAAATCGGGATAGTTTGTGGTTTAGAGAATGCAACCATAGGGCCACAGTTCCTTCCTCACGCTCCGTGGAGCCGATACGAGAGTATATAAACTACATTTTGAATTCCTCTGCCTCTTCTTCATAATATTTCATAGACAACTTTTCCATTTTTGGTTATAAGGCGAAAAGAAGTACTCATCCAAGTACAAACCAACCTCGGGTGCTGTAGGTACATTGATGCGTACATCCCTGAAATTCATCAAGATATGTATTAGCCACAAACCAAAATTCGTTCACAAACATAATCTAGAGTATTCGGACTCTCATTCTCTAAAGTATCTATGATTAACACTTGTGTCAGACACATTCGGATTTGGTACATGGTATCCTCCAAATATATTGACTATATCATACTAAACACATACCAATCCAACAAGCATAGCAATGCAATTCAAAACTAAAGTACTTACTTTCGCAATGCAGTTTCAATGAGAGACTCGGGAGCACAATTCCTCTTACTTTCGCAATGCAGTTTCAATGAGAGACTCGGGAGCACAATTCCTCATGACGGGCAACCGCCATACCGATCATATTTCGAATCTGATGAAGCATGAAGCTCTGTCCCACAACCTCACACTTAACAACCTTGCTAGAGTGAAATGAAACAATATAGCGACATGCAGCAGGGTCTTCAGCTTTTGTTCTTGTAGTGAAGTTACGGAAGTTGTGAGACCCCACATAGTGATTCAATATTCTATTGAACCTCTCCTTTTCTTCCTTACCTTTGCAAAACCGTTACCACCGTCGTTAATCAGCCGATCAGTCAATGACGTGTGATCGGTCAATCACCCACGACCAAAACCCCCTGTCTTCGTAACTGGCCAAGCAACTAATGGCAGTGTAGGTGCAACATTTCACGGACGTCGATTTCCACCTATATTGCTGATTTTCGCTGTAATTAGAGGTTGGAGTATGGAGTTTCGACTGTTGAGCATTCTTTCGATCATACATCGTTGGATTTTTGGCTGATTGACGACGATGGCGTCGGCCGATAGTGACAGAGAGATTAAAATTAAGGTTTTGACACCAAAAAATAGAAGAAAACATTTCTGACGCTATAACTTGTCAAAATAATTAAAATATATAACTACAAAAATAATTAATCATAAAAACTTAAATCTTATTATTTGACCAGATAATTTTTCCGTAACAATAACTATAATTTATAATTACAAAATTTGTCACTACATAACATATTTTTTTGACACAAAAAAGGATGAAAACAAATTTGATAGTATATTGTGCTACTATAATTAAAATATATAACTACAAATATAATTTGTCACAAAAATTTGAATCTCATTATTTATTGTGACAAATTTATTTGTAATAATCATTAAAATTTATAGTTTCAAAATTGATAGAATATGACTTTTTTTACGCAAAAAATATAGAGGGTTATATTTATGACAATATATATATTTTTTACTATAGTTAGAATAGATAACATAACATGTATATATAAGAAATCACATCAACAACAAAAAAAGTTATTTTTAAATTAATTAATTATAATGTGTGAACCAGAACGAATCTACATAGAAAATGAGACCGGGTGTTACCCCCACTCAAAATATTTGGTCTAATAACATTTTAAGTACTTTTTAATTTAAATTTAAGTCATGTTACCCTAATAAATCCCTATTATTTTAAACTTAAGTACTTTATGTCTTTGGTGTGAATTAATTCAACACCGCTACATCACTTTTATTAATTATTTTGGGTTATTAGTTTTTCGAAATCTATTATTCTCTCCATAAAGCCAGCTATTTCTCATACTCCATTAGTGCCCAAGCAAGGTGACGAGTGATGGAAAAAAGGGCTTTCCCATTCCTGTAAATGCCATAAGCATGAACTTAACTGAAAAGTTACTCTGTATGATCATAAGTTACGACAATACGGACCCGACGTATGCCTCTGAACTAAGTCTGCTCTTCGATTGACGGCAAGCTGATGAATGTGGCATCAAACCAAATGAATCCGTGCCATTTTCCTTCCAAACACTATCACCCTTGTAATTAGCACCAGAAATCAAAACACAGAGTTCCAAATGAAACAGAAAGACCATCCAACTATAGCTTGATAAAATTATGTAAAATGGTTAGTTTTTCATCGAGACTGCGTATCATAATATTCTACTCTTTCACACTTCGTATATACCTGCGCACATTATACACAAATCTCAGAACTCGTAGGATCAAGAAACTTCAATTTTTGGAAGCAAGATACAATCATTTCTGGTTAACATCATACACAGCACAACTGACTCATGTTAAAAAAGAAAAATATGCACCATTATTAATTAAGTTCACTTGATTGATTCAAACCACGACACTTTTCCCTTCCTTTATAGAATACACATAAGACTGAGAAACCCAAGAAAGTTGCGGATTGCAATTAAAATGAGACGCACAAAAAAAAAACAGTACATACATTTTACTTTAATGATCATTAAAATTTAACCTTATTGAAAGATAAAATTTTGATTATTAAATGATCATTGTATATTACAAAATAGTGATAAATTTTGATAATTTTAAGGTTCATCTTAATAAGTTTAATAATCATTTATTTTTTTAATAGTTTAATAAAGATTTAGGTGAAAACATTTAATTTTAGATTCCCCCCTTTTTCAATACATTCGTTTACTAAAATTAGATTTAAAAATAAAATTTTATAATCCTATAAATAATTAAACATGTTTAAATGTTCAAATCTTCATTTTTTATTTCATCTTTATTTTCGATATTTGAATCATCATAATCACTTATACAATGAGTAATAAAGGCTTATCCTTTTACCAAAAATAAACATAACATAAATTAATTTGAAAAAGAAAAAAAATAATCTTCTCGATTTAGAACTAATACGATCCTTTCTAACTTTTTGTAACTATACAGTTTGAAATATTAAATATAAATGCTGATTGAGTTTAATTTGATTAATATTATTAAACATATTTAAATCTATACGCCGAATAACTTGCACATCAAGAAGAAATATA